AAAAAAAGGGTTCGAAGCACTGGTTAAGTGGGTCAATTTGACTTTCAATGTACATTGATATTGTTAGTTTCAGAACAGTCATGAGCAAACAATCTCGCACTTCTCGAATTAATATAATAGTGAGGGTTCTATAAAAGAAATTGTTTATAGAAAAAATGAATAATACATTCGTCTTTCGTCTTTCGAAAGGCGATAATTAATCTACAGATCTGCTTATGTTTCCGAATGCTTTTTATCACGCAGAGACTGTATTAAAACTTTTCAAGCATATTACAAAAAAGAAATTGACAAACACTTGTCTACACTATATACTATAAAGTATGCTCTACAATATATAAAATAAATTTAGTTATGGTTAGGTAAGGTTATACCAGTGATCCCCAGTGGATCTACTTAAATCTATTAGCCCATTGTGATGCCGTATAAATTTATACAGAATATAATTGTTAATAACAGCTAATAACTCTAATCTAAAAATACTGCAAGAATTCAAATTTAAAACGATTAGATCAATTGGCATATATACCCATAAGGATCTAGATATTTCTTGTACAAAAGACGTAGTTCTGAAATATTGTACTACTAGTTGTAATTTTTCATAGCTAATATTAATTATATGTTTAAGGCCCTATGCTCCACGAGGAGAAGAGGACAATAGTATGTAAGTTAGTACAAATAGTATCTCTCTCTTGCTCTTCGCTCTCTCTCTCTATCTCTCTATGTGGTTTTACTATTGTCAAATATAACCATAAAGATATAAATATTTCTTATAATAACTCATTTTCAACGATTAAATTAATTTCTATACGAATCATACTCTACAGGTCAGCGAGGAATCACTATATGTATTAATTGAAAACCCAAATGATTGTTTATGGATTATGGATATTAAATATCCTTTTCCTGTTTAATAATATATATTATTTTTTTATGATTAATAAATAATGATAATATGATATGATAATAAAATATTTTATAAAATCATGAAATTAATAGTCAATACCTTTATATTTTAATGATATATAAATAAAACTCTATATTCTATACTATAATCTATACTACATTCAAAAGTAAGTAGTACCTTTTTCTGTCATACACTTCCACCAACTTTTCCTTATTCATTATATCATAATTTCGTAGTAATTTGAAGGTCTTTGAATATATAAATAAGACTTAAACTATATGTATGTTCATAATCGCTTATATACTTTCATATACAAATATATGCTAAAAACAATTATCTACACCCTTCATATGATAAAAACCCAAAAAATGGCATATGCGAAATATTTTACTGCCTTTCTGCCTAAAATGTGCGACTCAGTGCCTGTACAAATTGACATGTGTCTACCACTAACCACTTAGAGTACTTACTGGTTACTCAGTGATTTTTCGCATTCCTAGTAGTGAACATATACACACAACATAATCACAATAGCTTACAGATATTCAGAAATTCATAAGGACAATGATTTGTGCGAAATTCTTTGCCTACTTTTGAATTCTGGAAAATATTGGTTATTGTAGTAGGTAAGGCACATAAAGTCGATGAGGCGTTCTAGTATGCTTTGCCATCGACAGTGCTTTACTCAGTGGCTCACACGCTACTGACATTGTTTCTGAAGTGTCCTTAGGCATTATCCTGCAACATGTGCTGAGGTGTGAGCACATGTTTGCAAAATATGTAAAACATAGGCGGATTTTATAAAAAATAGAATTTGGAAAATTTAGGAAAAATAATATAATATTTTTAATAGGTTTATAATTATTTCATTTAATTTTATTTAATTTAATTTTATTTTATTTTATTGTGTTTGATTTTAATTTATTTTATTTTATTGATTTTATTTATTTTTTTATTTTATTTTAATTATTTTATTTTTTTATTATATTTTGTTGTATTTTATTTTATTTTATTTTAGTTTATTTTATTGTATTTTATTTTGTTTATATTTTTTATTTAATTTAATTTTATTTTTTTATTTTATTTTATTTTATTTTATTTTATTTTATTTTATCATCTTTTAAATTTTTTTTATTAAATCAAATTTCCAATTATCAGTTATCAATAGTATCGTCTCTGTATCGTCTCTGTACTTTGTCTTAGTCAATGTGTTTAAGTATTTATTATTGGTAAATATAATTTACTACTCTTGATGCATTTTATAAACAAAATATTAAAATTTATAATTATTAAATAATATCTTAACTACAAATTAAAGCATTTTAGGAACGCTACTGTGTAATCCCGTTGATGTCATTGAGCAATTCAAAGATGAATCAAGTACTTTCAGAAAAAAAGGCACATTTGCTATATTTTTAATATTTTGTGGGTTTGAAAGCTTTTTTCTATATATTCCAATTTTTTATGTATAGTATTTGCTTTGCTTTTATAATACCAAACAAAGGAACTTAAAACTGCTCTCTAAAATCCTTGTAAACAATAGAACAAACAATTGAAATCTGTGCCTTTTGTTTTAAATGCGAGAACAATAGCGGAACAATATTAAGCAGCATCAGGGCAGATATTATTAGAAGAAAGGGGGTAGGATTGTGGTATGAGTATTTTAATTTTTGGCATAATAGATGCGGTTGTAGATTTCGTAGTAATTTTCTTTTATTGTTTTCTATATTATATATACATATTCTTCTTTATTCATTTATATATATATATATAGATATATATAATATATAATATATAATATATATACGACTATTATTATGGATAATAATTACTTTGTTCACTTTAATTAATTTCCATTGGTTCGTAATTAAATGCACTGTAATTTTTGCACGTTATAAACAAAATTGTAATTACCTTCTCAGATGAGAATAGTTGAAAGGCCATAAATGAAACTTCATTATCACTGAACATCAGTGTTATTAGAAAGATAAAAAATTACTTGGATCATATCTATTCATAGGGAACTTGTACAGATACATTTAAACTACAGACGTATGGAAAATGAATTGAAATATATAACTAACTAGACGAAGACATGATCCAGTGAAAGATTATTTAATTTTATTTAAAACGGTTTCTACCCAACTATCGAAGGACCTTCCTAAATAATTCAATAATGCTTAGAATAAACTTTTCTAACCCTTAGAAAGAAGCAAAATATATTACTAGAACTAAAAGGCGACTAAAATCTCAGCACCATCCGACACTGTTTGGTGTGTAAATGGCAGTGAGTGATATTTTCAGCAAATCAGCAGAGCTATAGGTAGGCCGCGTTCCTTATCCAAGGGAAAATTATGCTAAACACATAACTTCAATTGGCACTATGCGAAATTCCTTGGAATTATAATAGGGAGTATACCGGCGCATTTTCCTTCAAGGCAGGTAATCACATTTTCCTTCAAGGCAGTAATCGTACATCACTGGTCAATGATCAGTGATCATGTCATGTATGTTTGATTAAAGCAACAAAGTAAATACCAATTCAAAAAAGAGTTCTTATAGAACATTTAATATGGTTGAACTATAAACTAAGCTATCAGAATGGACCCAATTCAACATTAAATAACTTCTAAAATATGCTTATTTGACCCACGTGCTGTGACTGTTATCGGATTATTAGAAGCATAGATATACATATACATATAAAGTAATAAAA